ATATTGCCATTCAATGCTGGAGAAAAAGTAACAAAATAAAAATAAAATACATTAAGTAATTCTTGCAGGAAAAGACATGCAGCTGTGCACTGGTGGGTGCAACTATGGAGGATGCTTTGAAAATCTGGCCCAGAACATCTTGTTCTACTGGAGTTTATAGCTCAACCTCACAGTCATCTATGTATAGCTGCCTGTCTATATAATCAAAAGTAATATGCCAGATGCTTCAAATTAAAGACAGTTAAAAAAATCTATTCCAATACATAAATATAAATGTTGAGAGAGTTTTTGGTCTTAGATACTATGAGTATCAAACTATGAAAGTTTATTTACTTTACTAAATATAATCATAGAAGATGAGAACTTTGAAATTTAATCTTTAAGTCATCTAAATATTTGCATGACAGCAATATACAAAGAATTTAACTAAAACAGTGGCTGCACAGTAGCGAATCCAAATACCAGGCCTTTGGTTTCATTTGGTCTCAGGAAGAGCTTCTCAGAAATATTTGTGATTAAACAATAAATATAAATACTGAGCCATGCTCGACTGCTCTCTCAGGAAGACAAGATTATTCTGAATTATCATGGCAAGGTCAGGCAAACATTTCCCTTATATATTAAAGACCTTTTTTTTGTTTAGATAGATCATTTACAGGACAGATTTACAGGATCTTTGGTGAAAAATTCTGCCAGGAAAAGCAAGTCTTAAAAGTAGTGAAAATTCCAATACCTGCATGACACACTACTTCACAAATCTGACTCCCACTGTTGTAAAATCCTGAATGAGCAGGCAAACTACAAAGTAATCAGCACTCTTGTTCCACAAAAAAAAGACCAAAATAAAACCAACCAAAAAACCCAAAGATAATTTTTTCAACCCAATCGTTGCCTTATTCATGCTAACCTTTCATCTGGTTTTCTATCAGTTTAGTGCAGTTACTCATGATTTACCAGTGTAAAGCTCTTTACTCATAAAAAAAAAAAAATCAATCAGATTCTTTCTGTGTAAAATATTTGGTAGGAATAGGGGTTAGAAAAACATTTTAGGAAATTCTCTTTCATACTAAGTAGCATGCAACACATAGCATATAAGGAATTCAGAACACTTACTTTAAGGGCTATATCCTAATAAATGCATATGTTGTTATAACATGCAAAAGCTCACCACCAGCACAGTTTAATTGTTCAGAGAAAACTTGTTTTAAGGTTGTTACCCACATCCCTTAGAGATTTCTCTAAGAAGTCGGCATGCACTAGAACTTTCTTATACCTCTTTGTGACAAACTACATTTTCAACTCATTTCATCAGAAATATTAAAGCACACTTCCCCTTGAAATCAAACCACTCAAGCAAACTGCAACTCTAGTAAGAAATTCATAACTTGTAAGAAAATGGAAGACAGCGGGAACAGCATAACAAAGAGAAAGGAACTCCACAGGACCTACACAGATTCTAAAACCACTACATTTGTACTTGTGATTGCAGCAGAGGTCAGCATAACTGCACTGGTATTGCAGTTGTGGAAAAAGTAAAGATATAACAAACAGACACAACTTCAAATTATATTTGAACTCTCTACCAGGCATGTGCAGCCCACAATGCAATCTGTGCTGCTCTGTCCTCACTCTAACCAAAACACCAAGATCAACATTAGAAGTGATTTATCATGCTAGCATTACGCCTCCAAATGCAGTGCACACAGACTCAGTATCTTGAGGGGGTAAGAAGGAAGAATTATTTTCCATTCACTGGAATAAAAAATGTTCAAGGGAGTATTTTGTACCCAGTCAAAGTAAAAGCTGTCTAAATTAAGCTTCTCCTACAACTGCAATAATATCATTAACTTCCAAATATTGTGAACATGATCCTGTTCTTTACTATGGTGTCACAACATAATTGAACTAGGAAAAAAAAAATAAGAAAAAAAATCAGTGAGAACTGTTTCAGCAACTTAAAGAAAACATCATACAACCAGTAATTCCCCTTCCAAAGAGGTTCTGTGATTGGGCTAAAACCATTCCTTCTCTCCTTGCACAGACTTGCAGCATGACTTCTAGATGTCATTTTCTGCTGTCCTAAGTAACTATTCCAATTAAAGCCATTCCTTCAGGTCCTATCACCGGTCTCCAGAGAGAAGAGATTGGTGCCTGCCCCTCTGCTTCCCCTCATGTGAAAGTTGTAGAGTGCCACGAGGTCTCCCCTCAGTGTCCTCTTCTCCAGGCTGAAAAAGCCAAGATACTTCAGCCACCCTTCATATGGCTTCCCCTCTAGAACCACCACCATCCTCGTTGCCCTCCTTTGGCTGCTCTCTAAGAGCTTAATATCTTTCTTATATCATGGCTCCCAAAACGGTACATGGTACATCAAGTTCAATTCTCCTTATGGTCCTGAGGCTTCATCCTTTACTGGATGCAAGTACTATAGCCCTAAAGATGGTACTCTACTGCATCCAACTGAAGTTCTCCCATAACCTACAGAATCCTTTGGGATATCCTAACTTTATAAGCTCATCTTATCCCTTTGATTTCCATCTTCCTCTGTGAATGCAATCTATTATAAGACATGTTTCTTTTCAGGTTTCCTATACAGGGATATCACCTATTGTTTCCATGTGCATACCAAACTACACCTGAAGAGATGAAGAGACCCCAAAGAGACCTTGATTTTTCTCTTCAGTTTTCATCTATTTGGTTTTGTAGCCTCCACCTATTTTTATATATTTAAACCTCTATCATTAAATTGGGAGAATTTTTTGGTAAAGAACATTAAAGAAGCTTAGCATATCAGTTCAGCTGATACAGCACAATGAAAAATATTAGCTAAACACAGAAACCTCACTAAAGACGGTATAATTTTGCACTTTGCAACTACCTTTATAGCTACAGATATGAATAACAAAAGCCATCTGGAAGAAGAAAACAAAACCTCTCAAATTATCATCCAAATCTATCTTGAACTCCATCAGGAAATGAAGGAAGATATATCAAGAAAAAATGATTTTTACTTTACTTTGTCCTTTTTTTCCTCTTACTTACTGCACATAGTTAAATTAAGTGCAAACTCAAATAAAAAGATACATAAGACAAAAAAATATTCTTTGAGGGCTCTTTGTAATCACCGTGGTCTTGCTGCAGTCTCTGGTGCCTGAGCAAGAACTCGGTCCAAAAATATCATGTACAGAAAAACACTGAAATGCTGTGATTTCATGCCTACTGTTACCTTCAGGTTTAAGTAGCTCCCTTGGCTCTTACACTTGCAGCAATTAGAATTTCCAGACAGCTCAGCAGCAGATATTCTAGGTGTTCTCTATATTGCAGCACTAACTGGCAGATGGCAGTCAATTCTTACCATGAATGAATTAAATTCACTCATATAACACATGGTTGTAGACCTAAAGACTTTTTAAAAGCTTTCAAAGTTTTCATTCTGCCTTTTATAGTTACAAAGCAACAACAGCCAGCTATGTGACGTAAATCTCAATTTTTATCATGGGCTAAGACTTACAGTAGGATATGCAGGTCCCCCACGCTGTTGTTTCTGGATCTCATGAATACATTTCTACACTTTTCCACTTAGGCTAGTCTTTTCAGCAATAAGGTTATTTAAATATATTAGAACACTATCTACTCAAGAAAAAATATGTGCTTGATCAGGAGATTGGAGTATCAGACAAAGAAGAGGAATTACCTGACATATGTTTGTGATTTACTGGTCTAGTTGCCTCAAGTTGGAATTTTATCAGGATTGTATCCTCCATCAGAGAGATGATACACTTTTCCATTATGAGGAGGGTACTTAATATATCCAGATGGCAAAGGTTAAAATATAGGTATGTCAACTTTGACAGGTTCCCTTCTTCTTATGGCCTGAAGTCCATGAGGACCACAAGTAATTAGTGCGTTAGGAAAGTCAGAGCTTTAGGTCTTCGGGGGATTTTTCAGGTTGTTTTTGTGAGCAGATACTAATTTTGGTGGTTTAAGTTACACCACGGCATTATTATACATTGCAGCACTAAATAACCTTCTTCCCTGCCCACTATTTGCTAATGTAAGTTCTGCTATTGCAATTAACCATTATATACTATATATTCCAAATCCCTGTCTGTCTGTGCAACATTTAGCTGAGCAAACATGCAACTGAATGCATTTTAAACACTCAATTAACTGGGTTTTGCAGTTGTATAAGGATTTTCTGACTATTGTTGGTTGCAACCTCTAAGCTGCTCTTCTTAACTTCAGCACCCATCTATAATGAACACTTCTGGTTTACAAACAACATTCAAATACTCTTAAACATTACAGGACAAAATCAGACAAAGAATGGGGGAAAGAGGAGTGAAGGTACAATGTAGTAAGCAAAAGGTGAAATTGCTGTTGTCACAGCCTGAGAACTTACCAGGCACTTTATTAAACTGCAATGCACTGCTTTACAGTGTTGCTTTTAAAATATGTTAACACTATATTGCAGTTCCCGGCAGCATGAAGTCTTTCCAGAAAATATGTCATCACTGTATGCAACATATTTTATAGCCAGTATAATTTCATTTCATTAGATCCAATAATATTTTTCTGAAATTCTAGGAAGTCTCCCCACAAAAGATAAGTAATGACCATGTTTTAATCAGCTGGCACAAAGTGTAACCACCATACTGCAAGAAAAAGAAGCCTTTATTACATCAAAATGTCCTCAGTTTCATTTTGCCTCTGTGGAAGAGGTCACAAATAAAACCTCTTCCACATTCAAATATTATGCAGCACAAAACCTTTCAACTGCAAAGTTATTTAATTCCAAGGCTGATCTCTACAGTTGAACCATTCTTGACAGAAGAAGCTGAATAAGCTCAGAATCCTACACATTGTACTATTACAGCAAGAAAAACCGAAAATTATGGTAACAAAGCCTGAAACACATGCCATTTGTTTCATATGTCCACAAACATTCTGAAAAGATGACCTGTACACTTCTAAGTGAAATAATGTAATTTTCCTTTTCTTACCATGCTTGGATTTCTGCTTTGTGATCTGCCCGTGACTGGAAAACATTGCTGTAGAGCCCGGTATAAGGGTTCTTTCCTCTAAATCAGACTCTGGGATTGTAGCACAGCCACCTAGTTGAAAATGGAAGAAACTTGATGGTGTGTTTATGTAACAAAACAAATTCACTGGTGCATAATTGAGGAAAAGAGGTGATAAATTAGCTGACAGGAACATATAAAACTAAAATAGTCTTTACTTTCACTTCACAGAAACATTTGTTAAAGAAAACTACTGCCATTGTTTAGAAGGTTGATTATGTCTTAATGACTTCTCGCTACTACTTATTTCATTTTGAAAAAAGTTTGAATGTATTTAGACCACAGAATATGTAAAACTGGTTCCACACAAAACATGGAAAATAATTTGATTTGTGTTAAAGATCACATTACTGAGAGCTATTTTTGTAATAAAAATAATTAAGTGTGAATGAAATAACTTCACAAAAACTACAAACCTTATGAAGATTGTTAGTATACCACAGAGAATGACATGATTTTTTATTTTTTTTTTGGATGGGCTATTAAATACAGTATTTTTATTACTTAGTGCTAGAGATATGGAAATACAGGGAGACTTTCAGTGTCCAGTAACACACTGCACTGGTAATGATTTTAGAATGTATGGCATAATAGATTCTTTGTATTTTTCAATATTGCTTTACGAGCAGTTCATTAGACAACACAATTACTTACAGCTCTCTTCAAACATGTTTAAATGCCTATGTTTAAAACATGAAGAGAGGGATAATCTAGTAGTAGTATCAGCTGAAGATAGTTGCAATGGCTTGCGGTGGAATAGGTTGATGTGAATTTATTTCAGAACAGCTGTGGTCAGTACACTGGAGGATGTGTCACTATTCCACAGGAAAAACACGGCCTTGTAGTAATTGCATTGCCAACAATACAATACACAGCTGAGCTGCATCTCTTTCTCACAGCCCTCCCAGGATCACCACTAGCAAGCAAACAAATCCATGTACTTATCTATTGTGTTCTGAAAGCACGTGTTTATAAAGCAGCACGTCAACTCCCAATGGAGTGCACAGACTTTTCACCTTTATGTCAGAGTTGTTCTATTTTGAAAAGACATGTTCTACTCCAGGCCCCATAAGCAGTGCACCCAATTTGAAGGAACACAGGCTGTTCTCTCTTTACAAACTAAATGAGTAAAACAGTTAAAAACGAGGACGCAGTCCCAAGGAGGAGAGTTGCATTTTCCCCAGCAGTTTCAGAAGCACTGGCAAACCAATGCCTGATGTCCTGCAGATACGTACCACCCTGTCTAGCCAGGGTAAAGCATGACAGCTCCAGCAAATCCTGTGAAAACACTCATTACTACCAGATGAGGAACTAACACAGCATCTTTTGCTCCTAAGGAAGAGGAAAGACACAACCATATGCAAATACACCCTGAGAGAAGGTATAAGATGCATCACAGGGGTTATGTTTGATTTACAGCAAGCAAATTTTTTCACTAAGAAAGGAACACTAGGAGTGAATGTGTCAGCAATGTGCAGACTTATGACTCATGACAGCTTCGAATATTTAGGATACCTGCTATGAAAATGAAAGAGAAAATGGGAAATTAGAAAAACCTCCTCATAGTAAAATACTGTAACACTGGGATAATGCACTGATGTTGCATTAAATATAAATGTACCTACAGGCTAAATGGAAATAAATATCAGTAAACTAATACTTCTGTTCCCATTTGAAAATTGTGACTAAAATGTAAACTGTGAGATTTGAGGAAACTGAAACCAGTGCTTTAAATGTCAATTTAGATATTTTTCATTCTTATTGCTCAGATAAAATCTACCCTATTAAACACTGATCTGTAAATAGAGGATACAAAATTAATAGTTCTTTTGAGCAAGAAAACTTAAGAATGGCATCATATATTTTAAGAGGTTTTATAACACTTTCTATCAGCATGAGTGAAAACTCACCAAGTCAATTAGTATCTACTGAATTTCTACATGACAATAAAAGAACTTTTATAACATTCATTCTAACAACCTGAAATTCAGTAACTTACATAACCTTGAGAATTGATGGCTTTTGGTGCCAAAATATTTCATTAGTCATCAATGCTGACAGTAACTGAAAAAGAGTTGGAAAAGGTCTATTTGCCCTTAGCTATGACACACTACTTGCTGAAAGGAAGCAGGACTTCCTGCTCTTGATTTTGATGTGAGAAATTTATTGAGATCTACTTGTCATGATACTATTAGAAGTTATTGCAATTAAAAGCAAAATGACTATAAGTTTTTTAATTTCAAACTTCAGACGTATCTGCTCTGACTTCTCTGGTCAGAACTTCTACTTTAAGTTTTAAAAAACTCTTTGAATTTTTGTGTTCATTTCAATAAGTATTTACTGAATGTCCATTTTAGCAAGCATTTTAAGTTTTTATGCACCTGGAACACTAAAAGAAATCACAGCAGAAAAATAAATCACATTCGTTCATAATTACCTGAATGGTACAAATCTGAACAGTGAAATATTTAAGGAAAAAGGGGGAAAAGAGGCAGAAATATTAGTACATAAATCTACACACTGGAAATTATTCAAGTTGAGAAGTCCTCCAGATGTCAGTCTGTAAACAGTGCTTCATAAAATGAATTTCCCCACTAATTGTTGGCAGGAATAACATCTAGAATATGTTACTGCATTTGACCCACTCTTTCCCCCTTTACTGTGTAACTAAATTCTTGTTTGACATCACAGATCTTTTATCAGTTGTGATAAACCCAAGAAAGCAAGCTTTTGTCAGCAAATCTGTTTGATAGGGTACAAAACGCATAAAATTACACTCAAGCTAATTGTGAACTTTGTTCACCAAAGGAAATGAGACTTCTCTTGCTTATTTTCACTACACCTGTTTTTGTAACACATTTGGTTCTTAAGCTGGAAAAAGATACCCACACCCAAAGGAAACATAAACATATAACACACATTGAACAAAAATTAAGTACTGACAGTTTTCCCTACAGGTTCATATCACCATGTTTTCACACATTTTATTGAAGCTCTAAAAGTGGAAAAACAGGAAAACAAAAGTGGTATACATCTAAAAAAATTAAAAGGCACTTTGAGGTAAAGAGTATTTGAGTTTCCTCTTTCTCTTACCCTCAGTCACAACCTAAACTATGCATAAAGTTTCCATTTTCCTCTGAAATTAACTATTAAAAGAGTCCACAGAAAGAAGAAAAAAGCTTCCTGAGCAGTCCTTGGCAGCAAAACAGTCCAAATGTGAGCAGAAGCCTTGTAAATAATAGATTTTGCATCCATATGTATATCATTATACAATGGAGATAATCTAAACAGCAAAATTATTTCACAGAGATTCCAAAAAACCATATCCAAAACCATGTTCACTTTGGTTTTCTTGTTCTGTCAACCATTTTAGGAAAGTGCATACTAAAAATGCAGTCTACAACATTAGATATTATTCTCTCTGAAAGAGCTAATCAATTACTTGTACTGATTCTGCTAGCTACATTTATTCAAGTTCTGTAAAATTTATAAGAAAAGAAAGGAAGGAAGGGAAAAAGGGAGAAAGAAAGACAGGAAGAAAGGGAGAGAGAAAGAGAGAAAAAAGAGAGAGAAAGAGAGAAAAAGAGAGAGAAAGAGAGAAAAAGAGAGAGAAAGAGAGAGAGAAGGAGAGAGGGAGAGAGAGTGAGAAAAAAAGAAAGAGAGAAAGGGGAAAAAGAGAGAAAGAGAGAAAGAAAGAAGTCAGAAGAGACAAGGGAGAGAGAAAAAGAGACAGAGGAAAAGAAGGATTTTTTTTTTCTCCTAAGTGGGTGTCTGATAAACACAGTTACAATTCACAGTAGAAAACAGTCCAAGTTGAGTTCAGATATTCACTAGCAAAACACAGAGTCACTGATTAATCAGTTATAGATTTCAGAACATAGCGCCTAAATCTAACGGTGTGGATACAATTTTGCAGTCACACAATTCCATTGTTTTGGGTCTGATTTGACATAACCAAATTCATCAAAATGATGGAAAATATTTCTGTATTACATTCCATGAGAATAATAAATTAGGGGAAAAAATCATACCAACAGAATATGCAGTCCAAGACCATTGAAAATTACCAAAACATATTTTCAGTGGGAGCACACAGACATACCAGACTGTTGTTCTGATTTACTCATGTTTTACTGAAATGTTTTTCAACAAAACTTCCAGTTCTTAAATTCCATAGCTTGTCCTGTAATAAGTTGTCACTATTTGTACCTAGAGCTATGCAGAGATAATTTGCTCCAATTGTGTGGCTTCTGTTTGAGCTCGTAGCCCATTCAAATATTTTGAGCATGCCTGAGTTCATAAAACCCTGACTTGAGAAGTTCAGGGTACTTTGGCCGCATAAACTCTTTATGGGAGCAACGATGGTGTTTAAACTGTCAAATTGCTTGGCCATTCTTCCAGGATGAGGTTCAGTGCATGTGGTATGCAAGTCATACAAATGGCATTGGGAAACACATTGCTAAGAACAGATCTAACAGCTGTTTTCATTAAAGAAGCATTATTGGATATTCGGCCAAGAATACAAAAATCAACATTCAGTAGTACCCTTACTAGCTCAGGACTGAGAATGCAGTAACATTAAACTATATAATGCCATGAAATATCTACCAAAGCAATTTGTTAGCACTATGAGCAAGGGATGAATGTTGACAGCTGTGCTTCAACCACATAAGTATGTTGTTCCATCCAACAACCTATTCACTTGATGAGCACAGACTGGCTGAAAAACATGCTCTGTGTTCTGATATTTGCTGGGAGAGGTAACATACTGAATTTTACAGTGCTTGGAGGATTTCCATCTGCTTTTATGTAATAGAATAGAAAAATTAGCTTGCAAGAACTTTCAGGAGGAATATCAACTCTTGACAAAGACCATAACTATATAAACCAATATATTTTTCAGAGTACACTGCCTCGCATAACACCTGGTGGTTTTGTTGATGGGGTATCCTCTTCCCCATATTCAGTGTATCACTAAATTTAGCTTTTATTTAGCATAACTAGGAATGGGTTTCTTTCAAAATACTTAAATA